TTCTTCTTCAGTGACTTTAATCAAGATTTCATAAATGCTGCTTGAACTAGTCTCTACAGAGCAGCTAATCGAATTTGTGTATCCACAGCAACAGCTTTGGAGGTCATACCCGAACCTCGCTAGATTGGAAAATTGCAGGGCTAACATGGAATGTGACCATTGAGCACTGGGCTCTACATTATGGTGCTTTCCATGCCTTCATGCACTGTGTTAATTAGCCACAGAATGTTTTCCAGGTCCAGATCCAGGACACAGCTTCTGATGTGACCCTGTCGTGAAAAAGGCTCACTTAGATTTTTCAAATTTTCTGCCTCTGCCATTTTCTTTGCAGTTGAGCCTGAGTGGTTGATCATTGATGTCATCCACTAGGTAGCATGCTGTGTGTGCATGCTGCATTCTTTCTTTTGCAACTTAACTTAGAGGTAGAACCCTCCCACTGCTGCTCCTGAATTACCAAGTGGCTTTATAACCTTCAGTTGCCTCAAGCTCTTATCAGTACCAGCTGCCTGAGTTTGTGAGTGCTTGAGGCCTAACTTCACATTTGGTTTAGTTGTTGGCCACCACACAGTGAAACATGTCTTCTCAAAGACACACAAATGACAGTTCTGCTTCTACAGGTGACCTCAGTCCATATTCCTCTAATGGTCCTGGGAACTGATCCCTAAAACCTGGGTCCCCTGTCTTTATAGGATTTTAATCTATTGAGTCTGTTTAGGCTCTACCAGGTAAGGCCAAAGCCTCCCTTCCTATCCACCAGGGCTTTCCTAGCTGTTTGTTCCCAGTTACTGGACCATTTTGTCCATAGAGGTTCTAAGTAAGCTCTAGTGCCATCCCTTTGAGAATCTGTAAAACTTGGTCTATAGCCCTGTTGTCATTTCTTAATCAGATTCAGCATCCCATTGCTGATCTTCTGAGTCTAACCCCCACCTCAGACAGTATGTCAAGAAGCCAGAGATCTGCTAAAGCTTCTGAAAAGTCTTTGGCATGAAAGACCTTCTCTACATTTGCAAGTGGGGGTTGTCCCCAAGTATCAGGTCTCCTTGGATTTTGCTTAAACTAATGCCTACTATATTCTACAAATTTCCAAACTCCCTTTTATGGCATGTACATATACTTGAGCAAGAATGGGGGTGTGCATACTCACACACTGAAGCCATGGGAGAGCAAATAACCTAACGTTTATTAGAATTTTAATAGATGGTAGAATTATTGCGTGTAGTGTTTGATACTATTAGAATGTGGACCATAAATTCTCCATAAACTTCCAAAATTAGATTGGGAGATTCAAAAAGTGTAAGTCTCAATCTCTCCCATCTAAAAAACTGGTATCAAGAAAGAAGAGGTTCAGCATGTTTTTTAGTAAACAACATCACAATCCAAAAAAGTGTTGACCCTGTACTTGGGTAGATAAAAATTTCCCTTCCAAATTAAGACAGGGCAACACTTGAAAATACATCTTGGCTAATAAAAAGCTGGAGCTCCCTAGTCACTGTGGTGATTAATAGCTAATCTAAGCCACTAGTTGGATAGCCCCATTAACATATTCTAATACTTCAAGTGAAATACAAACAAACAAACAAACTGTGGGGGTTAGGTAACTGCTGAGGTGATCAGGATGCATCAAATTTCTCACCTCCAGAAATCCCCACCAAAAAAAAAAGAGTGACCAGCCCAGTATATCCCCTCCTACGTCCAGCATTACTTTTGCTAGTGTTCTATATGTATGGATGCCTTTTATTTGCCAAGAAAAAAAGGGAAAGTTTAACCATTTTTGCTAGCCATTTTCCTGTATTTAAATTTTTTTTAATTTTTCCTCAATCAAAATTCTCCAATATGCTGCTTGTGTTGGTCTGTATGCACAGCTATAGTATCTAGATCAGTGTATCCTCAGCAAGCATTTGGAGGCTGTACCCAGGCCCTGCTGAGTTGGACAAATGCAGGGCTAGCCTGGAATATGACTTTGCATTGTGGCATTTTCCAGACCTGAATATACTGTGTTAGTATTAAAAATGGTTCCGGTCTTCTATCATTGCAGCACCTTTGCTGTTCCCATCCTGTGTATTCTTTCTCAGACAACAGGTCATGCTCTGCAAGCAACACCCCTGCCTCAGCATATAACCTGACTGTTTCAGATTTCCTGTGTCCCTCGATGGACTTCAAGAAAAAGATTTTACGGTAAATACAATATTTGTATTTTATTTTTCGTCCATTGAGGGACACATGATTTAGAGGATTATACTACCGCCTACAGGAGGATTTGGACACTTGCAAACAAAAAGACACTAACTTGCCTGTTTTCCTTCAGGCTGTGTCCTCATTGCTAGACAGCAGGAAGGCTCGGTCTGCCTATCAGCATTGGCTTTTGTCACTTTGGCACTTTATTAGTTGTCAAAATTCTAGGGCTCTGGTCTTGTAATGGTGTTTGCTACCTAGCTTCTGTACTTTGTGTCTTGCTTTGCTTTGCCTTGCTCTGACTCTAGATTGCTTCTGCCACTGACCATTGTCTGGCAACAGATTACTCTTCTGATTGCAGCCTTTCTTGACCCTTTTCCTGGATAGGAATATTCGTGTGATTGTTATCTGCCCCAACCCGCTTGCCTGGATAACTGACTGCGCTGCTATCTGCTGCCAGCTCTGACCACTGCCAGCTTGGCAACCAACCAGTTAACAGTTTTGGTTGCATTGAGGCCCAGAGTGGGACAAAAAATAGACCCGGCCATTTTAGACTGAGCAGCCCTAAGCCCAGGGATTCTTTCCTTGAAACTTGGTGGGGGAACATCAGGGCCCGCTTGCAAGAGCGACCTTTGCGACCCTGGTAGTTCTTCCAGAAAGAAAAGCTGTGGGGCAGGCACAAGAGGAGAGGACAGAAGGAGGAGTGGCAGGACCAGCTTTCTCTCTCCACTCCAGTCTGTTGTGGTGGTTGTGGGGGGCACTGGTTCTGGGCTGTGGACTCTCTCAGCTCAGAGCCCCAAGGAACAGTCTAACCTGACAGATCCCATTCAGAAGCCACAGGGAGGGAGGAACCCAGCAGCGCTGCCGGGGGATGATGGGGGGCTGGCTGCCGGGGGAGTATACAGGAGTTCAGGGCAGCAGGAGAGGGATAGGAGAATTAGTACATAGAAGAACCTGTCCGTGCATTTCTCTCCTGCCGTCACTGGATGCCTGCTGGAGGGAGAGGAGAAGAAGTGGGCATTCAGTGGCTGCAGGGGTGAAATACATGGATCGGTTCCTCTATGTGACACATGGCTGCCCCTCCTATCCAGGCGGCCCCAGCCCACTGGGCAAATGCCTGGTGTGCCCTATTGCCAGTCCAGGCCTGGTTGCATCCACCTTGAAGCCATCTGTCACAGTACATGAACTCTCTCCTTTTCTCTGGTTTGCTGGGGAGAGTCTTAGTTCTGTGACTATAGCCTCCTGGTGGCATCCCAGTACCAGTAAGCATACTAGTCTTAAAATGAACAAAGCATATTCCTCTATAGTGTGTACTAGCCTAAATCCAAAGCGCAGAGTCTAGTTCCTCTCTGACCTCTCTTCTCACGGCTATATGCATGATTCATCAAAAAGACTCCAAGTGGATACAACAGCCTAAAGTGAGATTTCCTGTCCCCCTCCAGCACACAGCAGGTGACTTATACCCTCAGCTCTGTGTGCTTTTCTATCAGCTTGTAAGCCTGTGTGGAAGGGGGTGTTTCATTCCCTCCACTTAGCTATCAGATATAAGAAAGCTTTGTGCTTTATCACTCTTGTGTGTGATGTCAGATCCCTACCCCTGCTGCTAGAGTTGAGAAAAACCCTTTGAATTGTGTGTTTTTAGTACACACTAAAGAGGAAATGGCTGCAGATAAACAGGTACAACTTATGTAGGAAGATTTGATTCATCTCTGTGTATCAACTGAGGCTATTCACTTCATTGGGTAAATGTAAGGCTCCATGCACACAGGGCGTTTTAATAAAGCTGGTAGCATTAGCTGTGTAAAGCCACATTAAAATCTTGAGTTTTTCAGCATTTTTTAGCATTTTTGCATTAGCGTTTAGCCACGTCTTACCACATTTTTTGCTCAAAAAAATTCCCAAAACGCTGGTTTGCCATATTTTACCATGTTTTGCTGTGTTTTTCAGAGCGTTTTTCCAGCTAAAAAACTCCTCTTGACGCCCACTAGTCCTGGGTTTTTTTCCAGCCAAAAAATGCCCCTGCCAAAAAACGCTGATTACAGCCTATGTGTGCATGGACACATAGGATAACATGATTTACTAGCTCTAGAAAAAAATGCCACAAGACAAAAACAGCAGCTGTAAAAATGTTCAGTGTGCATGAGGACTAAGGGTTTACAACTACGTTAAGGGAAAATTGTCTGCTATAGGTAAAACTGTGCATAAACCATGTTATTTATGCAAAACAAGGTGCAAACCTGAAAACGTTACAGTTAGCTGTGGAGCGAGTTCTGAGCAGTGATACAGCTTGTACCAGTATCCAAGCAAATTTTCTGTAGGCATCAGTAAAACCCAGTTGTATGTTCCTATGTCCTTCAATGAACTCTATGAAATGGATATGACAGCAAGTACAAAATTCAACGTTATCTTTGCTGTACCAAAATCTTGGGCTGTGTTGCAGAGCTGTAGACTGGAGCTATGTAGTCCTAACTGCTTCCCGACTGTCCTATAGCAGAACTACTGCTACAGAGCGACAGGGCTGTGCAAAATCACGTGTGTGTATGTATATATATATATATACTGTATGTGATTTTTTATTTCCGGGTAACGGCTGCATGTGTGCACCGAACTACGCGCACTGCCACTGGCGGCTACAGCTGTCGATCACCGGGTCCTGGCTGGAGAATCCCTGCTGGCACCCGGCAATCACTGAGGAACACTGACGGGGGAGAGGTCTGTATGTGAACAATACAGATCTCTCCCCTGTCAGCACCAGCATGCTGCTTTGTATTGCTTTGCATGGCACAACCAGACAAAACAGCATGCCTCCCTAGTAAAGTACAGCACACTGTAAAACACAAACAGCACACAGTGAACCCTTTGATTGCCCCAGATGTTAATCCCTTCCTGCCCAGTGTCATTAGTACAGTGTCAGTGCTTTTCATTAGCACTGATCACTGTATTAGTGTCAGTGTGGATGTCAGTGACAGTTAGTCGGTTCCTCCCAGTGTCAGAATGCGTGCCGCAGTCCAGCTATAAGTTGCTGATCGCTGCCATTACTAGTATAAAAAAATAGTTTTCAGTATATATACCGCCATTTCTAGATGCTATAACTTTCAGGGAAACCAATTAATTTACACGTATTTCGATTTTTTTAGCAGTAGAATACATTTTGGCCTAAATTTATGACAAAATTTGATTTTTAAATTTTTTTTACTAGACATGTTTAATAGCAAAAAATCAATTTTTTTTCAAAATTGTCTTTTTTTTATTTATAGCGCAAAAAATAAAAAAACACACAGGTGATCAAATACCACCAAAAGAAAGCTCAATTTGAGGGAAAAAAGGATATAAATTTCATTTGGGTGCAGCGTTGCATGACCGCGCAATTATCAGTTAAAGTAACGTAGTGCCGTAATGCAAAACATGGCCTGGTCAGGAAGGGGGGTAAATCCTCAGGAGGGCAAGTGGTGGGCTGAGATTTGACTATATGTAAACTTTTCTATTAAACTGTAGATTAAAAAAAGTATATCAAAGCATTGTTAATTACCTGGAAAAATGGGATAACTTATCAAGAATGCCTCAGAGAAGGGTTCTACTGAACAGAAGCTGTACATGTGTTTGTTCTGTTCTCACCAGTTACAGCTGCCTGCTTTGATAAATGACTCTTTAGCTTTGTCAAGGTTCTGCTTTCTCTTTGTGTATTCATGTTACAGACATCCCTATGATGTCTGCTGTAATAAAAACTCACCAAATTAATAGCATTGATATGTTGTGTAATAAAACAAGACTAGAATGAATGACATCGGGCATGTTGTTATTACTGCGCTATTGCTGCTACATGGTTGCAGAGTACAAAAGGGATATATAAAACCGTTGCAATAGATCTGGCTGTCGGCTGGTTCATGGTCTATCTGAGAACTGGCTGAAGATAACCTCTGGGGACACCATATGTTCTTGTATTGCTTCTTTGAGCCAATTCTACAGAATTAAATATGACCTTACTGTTTATCACAAAGACCCATCACACTGCTGGCAGATAAAGTGGATTTATTACATACATCCTGCTCTGGGAAGGGATGGCAAGAGAAGAGAGCCTGCATAATGCACTGAAGGGGGCCAACTTGTATACTGTATCTGCACTCTTCAGAATCGAGGTTTCCACTATGTAGTGATTGACGTTAGCCAGTGCCGTAGCAGGAAAGGGTACAGATCAAGGGTGTATCATGAAAAGAGCAGCCCGTGTGCAAGATCAAAAGTGGGCCCTAGGCACTAAGAATGCAGCCACGGTGAACAGAGGGTGTGCTTTAACCACTTTCCCACCGCCCAATAACAGATATACTGCTACAGGGTGGCAGGGGTGCACACAATCATGTATATGTACGTGATTTTGCATTTCCGGGTAGGGGGCATGTGGCCTACCCGCACCGCTATTCGCAGCCTCGGCTGTCAATCACCAGATCCCGGCCGGTGATTACTCGCAGGCACCCAGTGATCGCCAAGCATTACCGACGGAGGGAGAGAACTGTATGTAAACAATACAGATTATTATTATACAGGATTTATATAGCGCCAACAGTTTGCTCAGCGCTTTACAATATAAAGAGAGATAATACAACAACAATACAGTTCAATACAAGAGGGTTAGGAGGGCCCTGCTCCTTGGAGCTTACAATCTAAGAGTGAGGGGCTAGTGGTACAAAAGGTAGTAACTGTGGGGGATGGACTGGTAGGAGGAATAGAAGATTCCATTATTAGCTGATGGCAGGATAGGCTTCCCTGAAGAGATAGGTTTTCAGAGATCGCCTAAAAGTGAGTAGAGTTGGCGATAGTCTGATAAATTGGGGTAGAGAGTTCCAGAGGATGATGGAGGATCTGGAGAAGTCCTTGAGATGCATGGAAAAAGGGGACAATGGAGCTAGAGAGTAGAAGGTCATGGGAGAAGCGGAGAGGACAGTTTGGGTGATATTTGGAGACAAGATTGGTGATGTAATTTGGGGCAGAGTTATAAATGGATTTATATGTCATTGTTAATGTTTTGAACTTTATTCGTTGGGCAATGGGAAGCCAGTGGAGGGATTGGCAGAGAGGGATGGCAGATGGAATGGTTAGTAAGGTGGATGAGTCTGGCAGCAGATCTCTCCCCTGTCAGCTCCTGCACATTGCTTTGCATGGCTGTGAATAGCAGAGCAATACAAAGCAGTGTGCTTACAGTGAAGCACACACACACACAGCACACAGTAAAACAGCCCACAGTTAACCCTTTAATCGCTCCACATGTTAACCCCTTCCTGCCCAGTGCCATTAGTACAGTGTCAGTGCTTTTTATTAGCACTGACCACTGTATTGGTGTTACTGGGAATGTCAGTGACACCAAGTCAGTTCCCCCCAGTGTCAGAATGCCCGCCACAGTCCCGCTATAATTCGCTGATCGCCATCATTACTAGTAAAAAAATAAAATAAAATCCCAATATCTATACTGCCATTTGTAGACGCTATAACTTTCACGTAAACCAATTAATTTACACATATTGGGATTTTCTTTAGCAAATACATGTCGCAGAATACATTTTGGCTTAAATTTTTGCCGAAATTTGATTTTTAACATTTTTTTACTGGACATGTTTAATAGCAAAAGTCAAACATATAGCTTTTTCTCTAAAATTACGGTCTTTGTTTTAATAGCGGAAAATATAAAAAACACACAGGCGATCAAATAGCACCTAATACATATATAATGCAACACTAAAATGACATAAAGTGACGTGTTTGCACTAGAAGTGATGCGGTAGCAGTAAATGTGAAGTGTGCCGTCAAATATTGACACATAAAAGGGTGAAAATACATAAGTAAAAGTGACTTTAGTGTACAATGAATTATTATGACATATATTCAATAACATCAAGAAAGTCCAAAAGTAATCCGTGGAATCCGTGATCGTGATATCCGTGATAAGAACCGGTAATGTGATTGCACTCACCCAAACACAATATTAAAGCGCATGTATATATTTTATCCTCTTTGGTCATCTGGGTACGGGCAAGAATTGTGGAATCATCTTTGGCACACAAACAGCATACAAGGCAACTCCAGACCTCACTCACATGACCCTCTCAGTATCCAGGAACAGCTCCTTAATACTCCGTCACCACCGGATAATACAGCTCAAAACAGGGATGTCGCCACCTTTGGAGGCTCCTTGATGCAGTGTTCTGCTATATCTGTGACTCCATTTCACATGTGGCGTTTGGTTTCTCTGCTCACCGGAAGACAGCCCAATTTGTGGGAAAAAAAGGAACGTAAATTTCATTTGGTTGCAGTGTTGCACGACTGCGCAATTGTCAGTTAAAGCAATGCAGCGCCGAATCACAAAAAATGGCCTGGTCAGGAAGGGGGGGGGGAATCCTCTGGAGGGTTAAATTGCGCTTAATATTGGGCGTGGCTTAAAGGGGGTGTGTGGTTAGAGTGTGAGATGATTTACATAGTGCAGAATGTGGTCATGTTAAACAGGGAATGTAGCGTGCAGAATGAGGGGGCAAAGATGCCAAGTGTGAACCTTCCCCCCATACCATAATGGATGATTAGTGCAGAGAGTGGTTGGATTGGCATAGTGGACGCCAATGAAAACCCTGAGATATTACCACCATTAAACAAATGAACATGATAGGGAGGAGTGTTTCACTTGTGCAGTGTAGTCATAAGAAGGGTAAAACAGAGTCAACAGAATAACTTATAACTCACAAGTGCCGATGTAATTCTGTAATTTGACTTTATAAAACTGAACTCACTGGCCTCTTTATTAGGTACACCTGTTCAATTTGCTTGGTAACACAAACTGCTAATCAGCCAATCACATGGCAGCAACTCAATGCATTTAGTCATCTAGACGTGGTGAAAACTTACTGAAGTTCAAACCGAGCATCAGAATGGGGAAGAAAGGGGATTTAAGTGACTTTGAACATGGCATGGTTGTTGGTGCCAGACGGGCTGGTCTGAGTATTTCAAAAACTGCTGACCTACTGGGATTTTCACACACAACCATCTCTAGGATTTACAGAGAATGGTCCAGAAAAGAGAGAAAATATCCAGTGAGCGGCAGTTGTGTGGAGGAAAATGCCTTGTTGATGTCAGAGGTCAGAGGAGAATGGGCAGACTGGTTAAAAATGATAGAAAGGCAACAGTAACTCACATAACCACTCTTTACAACCAAGGTATGCAGAATACCATCTCTGAACACTCAACACGTCCAACCTTGAAGCAGATGGGCTACAGCAGCAGAAGACCACACCAGGTGCCACTCCTGTCAGATAAGAACAGGAAATAGAGACTACAATTCACACAGGCTCACCAAAATTGGACAATAGAAGATTGGAAAAACATTACATGGTGTGATGAGTCTGAATCTAATAAAATGGTGGGTGAGTGTATATATCTACTTTCAGATCTATAGTGATAAGAACTGCATCCACGTTCCTCTCCTATATACCCAGGGCTGCTGTAAGATATCATGGGGCCCCGTACAGCCTACCTGACAGCCCCCCCCCCCTTCCCGACCACCAGAGAAAATATTGAAATTTTATTAATGTACAAAATCCCATTGAAGGGAGGACAGGCGAGATATATAGGCTGGGCAGGCAGGAGACATCTGACAGGAGGAGGAGGAATACAGGAATGAAGGAAGTGCAGGGAGACTCTGGGCACAATCAGAGATATCAGAGTGTGACTGCAGAGATGGGGGATGGGAGGCCAATATCTGAGGGCAGAGTGAGTGCAGCAAGCATCTGGAAGGAGGAGGATGGGGGGAGAAACAAAGTTACAATTGGATATAAACAGAAGGAAACTTGAAAGAGTCAAACCTGTGGAGCAGAGCAGGAGCGCAGCTAACATCACAACACTGAGCCACTGTGTGATAGACTGACAGGAGGCTAACAATGGAATTTAGCAGCTGTAGATGGACTTGTCAGCTGCCCGGGCCCCCCTATGCAGCTGATGGGGCCGAGCCCCCTACAGGAGGGCCGGGGGTACCCCCTTATCAGCAG